AGGTCTCCTAAAAACCAGTACAACATTCTTTAGTGTCCACTATGCTGGTTTTCACTATTGACTCCAGCACTGAATTCTTAGCTGTTCTAAGAGTTTATGGCCATGACAGACATAAGGAAGAGAAGTGTGTGGGGTGCTCTGTGACTGTTAAATATGATAGAAATGTGAGATATTTTTCTGGTGACTCTCTAATAAGGAAGAGAAGAGATTCCAGGCAGGATGGCAGATCTACAGGAAAGAGTTGTGTTTTCGTTTAGGGAATGGGGGCGTGCCTGGGCCAGGGTGTCTCTGAATTCCAACCTGCAGATCTCTGACTGTTGCTCTCAGGTAAGGCCCGGGCTGCTAACTAACCTGGACCAAAATTCCTCTGCCCCACCTCCTGGTTTGTGGAACTTGTCTTTGCCCCCTCAGGCAATTGTGGGCAGTGCAGAGTTCTTCAAACAACTCATTTGGAGGTAGAGGATAGAAATTCAAATCCTGTCTCTGTTACTTATTACTTATACAACAATGGTACTTACCACTACCTGTAATGATCCAGCCCTTAGCACAGTACCTGGCTTAATAAATGCTAGTTGATTTACTGATTAGGTTGGACTAGGTAAAAAAAAAATTGACTTTTTATAGCATCCTAAGGTTTACAAAGTCTCTCCACAAAAACCCTGTGATAGAGATAATGCAAGTATCATTATTCCCATTTTACAGATGAGAAAGTTGCCACTCAGAGTTCTGGGGTGACTGAACAATGCTTGTGCAGTTACCAAGTGTCAGAGCTAAGTTTTGAACCCAAGTCCTTCCTGACTCATTGGTTCTTTCCATTACACCACACTGCGTTTTTAGGGGATCTCCAAGATCTCTTCCAGTGCTAAATTCCTTGGCCTTACAATGTGTCATAAGAGATGTACTTAGCCAGTCACAAAGACCTGGATTCAAGTCTCATCTCTGCCTCATACTGGACTATAGACCCTGGGCAAGTCCCTCATCCTCTCAATGTCCTAAGCAACTAAAACTATAACAACTACTAGCATTTATATGAGGTTTAAGGTTTGCAAAGCACCTTACATAGATCATCATCTGATCCTCACAACAAGCCTGGCAAGTAGATGTGGTTACTGTCCTCATTTTATACGTGAGAAAACTGAGGCAGATTGAGGTTAGGTACCTGAAGCAGGATTTGAACTCGGGTCTCCCTACCTCTAAATGCAGCATTCTGTCCAGTGTGTGACCTTGCAAGGGCCAGTCAGGACTGGAAGAAGAGGATCCTTACTGGGTACTGTCCACAGCTATGACATGACAGGATTAGTCCAGCTCAGCCCACGTCCCATTCCACACAGTGAAAGTTGGGGAGGTGGTAGTGCTCTGTTGGGCTCAAGAAAAGCTGGGTTTCACTCTCAGCTCTGACACTTCCTAGCTGGGTGACTCCTAGCAAGTCACTTAACCTTAGCTGATCCTCAGTTACCTCCTCTATAAAGTGGGGAAAATAATCCTCATACTGCTTACCACAGAGGATTATGGTGAGAAAACATTTTCTGCAGTTAAATCTTTCCAGGAATAGAAGTTATTTTTCTCAGCCATATCATTTCTTCATCCAGGCTTTAGCTGAAGCACCTAAGGTGTGTGTGTGAGTGAGTGTGTGTGTGTGTGTGTGTGTGTGTGTGTGTGGGTGTGGGTGTGTATTTTGGGGGGGTTGTTTTTTGTCTAAGGCCAACTCCTTCCCAGTATGGATATATCTACAATGTCTCCCCCACTTCCCCCCTCTCTCAGTGACTAGGGGTGGAGGTGACTTTCTTGAGCTTGTTTGGAGCTGGAAGGAATAATGAGATGAAAGGGTGCCAGGGAAAACATGGGCAGAATGTTAGGGGACACTTCCCTGGTGAAGAAATCTGCAGGGTTTGGAGCTGAGGTTGAGGAGGGTGATGCTTCTGACAGTGCCCAGACTGGGCTATGGTTCCCACAGGGTGCCCAGACTGAGGCTTGACTTGAGCCATGCCTAGCTAACTGGGTCTGGGTTCTTGGGTCGTGACATCCCATCTTCCCTTTCCCCTCTGGGGAGAGAAATATGGCTATTGGGCCAGTCAGTATAACAGGTGGCCATGAAATCCTGCCTGCTTTGAATTTTTGTGGCTAAAGATTCATTCAGCATTTTATTAACTATGTGTGGGGCACTGTGTTAGGTGCTGGGGATACATAAACAAACAAAACCCTCAGCTTTTGATGATTTTACATTCCACTAAGGAATATACACAGGTAGTTGAATACAAAGTATGTACAAAGTAATGTGATGACTCTGGAGGAGAGAGTGAGGCTGATGACTCTGTGCAGCTCTGCCTCACTTAAATCCAATTTACGCATGAATCAAAGGATGAAGGAATGTTGGGGTGGTCGGACATAATAGATAGAAGGCTAGCTTCTATCAGGGTCAGGAAGGATGGAGTTCAACCTCCCTCTGATACAGACTGACTGGGTGACCTTAGGCAAATCACTTTACCTCCTTAGTATCCCAAGTCTAAGATGCTAAGTTTCAGAGAAGGTGCCCGTCTGTGATGAGAGAAGCAGGTTTTCCCCAGGAGCCCTGTACACTTACAAAATCCCAAGCCCAGCCAAAATCTCTACCTCTCTATATTGAGGATAGGGAGACTGGCTCTGAACACAGGGGACGCAGGAAAGGTGGGACCTGAAGTGAACCTTGAAGGAAGGTAGAGATTCTAAGAGGCAAAGGTGAGGAGGGTGGACATTCCTGGCATGAGAGACACCTTGGGCTAAGTTAAAGAAGCAACAGATGGAATGTCATTCATGGACAAGAGCAAGGAATAGAAGAACATAACGAGCCAGGCTAGAGCAGCGTGGTATCTGGAAGAACTGGAGCCTCAGGGCAGGGATGCTATTAGAATCCTAGTTACCACACTTACCATTACGGGATTGAGGGCCAAGGAGTCATCTAGTTCAACTCTCATCATTTCACAGATGGGGAAACTGAGTCCTAGAGAGCAAAAATGACTTGCCGCTGTGATACAGGGAAGAGAGAGCAGAGCCAGGCTTCTGGCTCCCGTGACCTACCCATTCAGCTTTCTATATGCTGTACCAAGACACTGATGTGAGGTAGTGGGACAAAGTGGGAAGAGTCAGGACATCTGGGTTTGAATCCCGATTCTGCTGCTTATTAGCTGTGTGACCTTGCGCAAGCAGCTTTCCCTCTCTAGGCCTCAGTTTCCTACCCTGTAAAATGAAGGGGTTGGACTAAGTAATCTGCAAAGCCCCTCAGAGGGCCTAAGCCCCATGATTCTGGGATTCTTCAGGGGAAGCAAGGAATGCTGAAGAAGGGGAGGGAGAGGGAGGGACACACACAGAGAGACAACGATGACAGAGAGAGGAGAATGAGAGACAGAGAGACAGAGACGGAGAGAGACAGAGATGGAGACAGGGACACAGAGAGACAGAGACTGAATTAGAGAGAGACAGAGAGAATTATAGAGAGAGACAGAGAGAGAGAAACAGAAAGAGACAGAGAGAGACAGACAGAGAGAGAATTAGAGAGAAACAGAGAGACAGAGAAAGAAGCAGAGAGAGACAGAGAGAATTAGAAAGAGACAGAGAGAAAGACAGAGAGACAGAGACAGAGAGAGAATTAGAGAGAGACAGAGACAGAGAGAGGCAAAGACACAGAGAATTAGAGAGAGACAGAGACAGAGACAGAGACACAGAGAGAAAGACAGAGACAGAGAGAGAATTAAAGAGAGAGAAACAGAGAGGAAAATAAGAGAGAGAGAGACAGAGAGAGAAATTGGGAGAGAGAGAGGGAGGGAAAAGAGAGAAAGAGGAGGGAGACAGAGAGGGAGAGAGCAGAGAGCACTAGCATGGGGAAGATATGACAGCTGTAAGTCACGGTGGTGTTAACACAGTCTTAGCTTTTATTACTTAACTCCCTGTACTCATTTATTTATTTATTTATTTTGCTCTTTGGGAGAAAAAGCCTGAAATCACACTTCTCTGGGGGATGAGCTGGGAGCTGGAAGAGATACTTCCCCCAATCTGCCTGACAGGATCCTCGTTCCATGCCGTCTGGCGTGACATTAGCGCCCGCCAGCTTGGGCATGCTAATCACATTTGCATTTTGCTGGCTAGTGGAACAAGTACTTCCCTGGCTGGGGCTGGCTCCTTCCCTGCAGGGATCAGAGCCCAGGAGGGAGATGCAGGAAGAGAAGGGAAGAGGAGAAACCCCGGGCACCCCTGATCCAGTCCCTTGCCCACCTCTTAGAGGGTTGGGAAGGATCAACTAGTCAGTGAGAACCTGTCATTTTTGTCTCTGAGACTTTTTTTTTTGACATAAGGGGTATCTAACACTATGCTGTAGGTATAGTTGCTGGGTCAGGCACAGCTTCCCCCCACCTCCCCAAACCCAAGATATGGCATCAGGCATAGAGGGAGAAGGAGGAGGGTAGAAACTGAATTGGACCGAGGACCAGGATGTGGGGAGAAATGGGTCAGCTAGAGTGCATGGGAGATGGAGAACTGGTGAAATGAGCAAGATTCAGAGACTCCCTAAATGTTTAAATTCTAGAATGTGAGTTGGAAATGGTCATATGATTCATCCTGAACCTGATGTCCCCACTCCACAATACCTGAGGAATTGCTGCTTGAATACCCTGAAATCGGGTGAACTCACTCCTACGAGAGGAAGCCCATCCCACTTTGGGATTTCTCTACTTGTTAGAATGTTTTTCTTTACCTCCAGCCAGGGCTTCTGGTTCTTCTCTCTGGAGCCAAGAAGAACATGGCTGGATTCTTCTTCAGGGGGTGACCTTTCCACTACTTATAGCTATGATGTTCCCCCCCATGTTTTCTTGTCTTCACACTCAACATCCCAAATGACCCTACTTGGTAAGGACTTCAGAGTCAATGGAAAGGACTGGGACACAGCCAGGATTGGGTTGGGGGAGCCGCATGGGGAGTCCTATTTACAATCCAGAGGAAGAGTCATTGCTGGCTTTGCTTGTGCCCAACAGGTGAATTTGCTTTGGATGATCTGGGAACTGGTGTAGTCAGAGGTCCTGACTGATAGCCCCTGAACTAAACTTCTGGGAAAGCACTGACCTTCCACCTGGAGTCCATTGTTGGCTGTGGAGGTAAGGAAGGACCTCAACCTGACTCTGTGGGATTTGACCTGGTAAAAGTGCTAGAGTTTTGCCCAGAGATCATAGACCAGATCCACAAATCTGCCATTCTCCTACAAGGGTACACCACACTAAGAGAGCTAATACACACTCACAAAAGTGAGTCTTCACTTTACAAAAGGTATCCCATTGAATTACTTAAAAAATATTTTTTTTGCTTCACCCCATTGCCTCACAAAAATATACATGTATATTTTTCTTATATCACTGTCACTACTTAGAGACTCCTATCGAATCCTCCTCTGTAACAAGAAAGTACAGATAAGTAAAATAAGTGAACACATTGACCACGTTTGGCCATGTATACCTTATTTTATACCTCTCTGCCTAAAGGTGCGAAGCGTTCTCCTTGTTGGGTCGCCGAAGTCACGATTGAACACTATTGTTCATGGAGCTGACGTCTTTCAGGGTGGTTTTCCTTCATATTATAGGATACCTCAGTATTGTAAGGACTGAGGGTAATTTTCTTACAGGATCAGGGATTTAGAGAGCTGGAAGGTACCTTCAAGGCCATCTGGTCCAACTCCCTCATATTGAAAATAAGGAAACTGAGGCACAGAGAGAGTGATTTGGCCAAGATCACACAAGTAGTAAGTGGCAGAGTCAAGATCTGAACCCAGGTCCTCCTGGTCTAATGCTTGGTCCCCCGTGTGTCCCATGATGTGGATGGCATATTACAGGACCAGGCTCTCCAAGGCTCATTGCCCAAATCTCCCATATGTCCTGCAGGGAAGAGCAAACAACTGGTACAGAAGAAAGAAAGCTTGACCTGGATTGAGGAGCTTTGGGCTTAAATCCCATCTTTGCTCCTTACTTCCTCTGGGAACTTCAGCAAATTGCTTCTTCTCTTTGAGACTTGGTCTCCCCATCTGTCAAATGAGAGAATTTGGATTACTAAGGCCACCTTGAGTCCCCAGTCCTGGAATGCTAGGATCCCATTTCAGCTATTTACTAGCTGTGTGACCCTGCTCAAGTCAATTAAGCATTCTGAACCTTTGGTTCCTTCTTTTGTCAATCAATCAATAAGCACTTATTAAGCACCTACTATGTTCCAGGCAGGGAGTTAGGTGGCACCGTAGTGCACAGAGTGCCAGGTCTGGAAGATTAATCTCCCTAAGTTCAAATCTGGCCTCAGACACTTACTGGTTGTGTGACCCTAGGCAAGTCACTGAACCCTGTTTGCCTCAGTTTCCTCATCTGTAACATGAGCTGGAGGATATCTTTGCCAAGTATTTTTGCCAAGAAAACCTCAAATGGGTTCACTAAACGTTAGAAACAACTGAAACAACTGAACAACTATGTGCCAGGCACGATGCTGAGTGCGGGGATACAAAGAAAGGCAAAAGTCAGTCCCAACCTTTAAGGAACTCACATTCCAAGAGGAGGACAACATGCAAACAAATATCAAATCAAGCTATGTGTGAGATAAAAAAGAAAGGGTTGGCTTTAAAAATTCTATTCTGTCCCAGGTCTAAAATCTAGAGGGAGAATCTGAAACAAGAGGTCCTTGGGATTCATTGCAGATAGCAAGAAAGGCTGGCTAGGCCCCAGAAGCCCCAGGGGTGGCATCCCACATCACCCATCCCACACTGCCTCAGCCCCTCCTCCAATGGGCATAGAGCAGCCATTCATCCTCCTGGCATTGATAAAAAGGCTTTCATGCCCACCCATATGCCACTCAGGGGCCAGCCTCTGTTTGCCGGCTGAGATCCTCTGGCACTCTCCACCATTGGGTTGCGACAGGAGGTATCCATCGGGAGGGGCTCACTGGTGCCAGCTGGAGCTACAAGGAGAACTTGGCCCCCTTCTCCCCTTTGTTCCTCACTCCTCTTCCCAGATTGATTCACTGCAGGCCATCATAGGATCCCTAGATTCAAAGCTGGAAGGACCCATGGAGATCTGCTAGTCCCACCACTTCATTCTACACATAAGAAACTGAGGCCCAGAGAGGAAAGTCACTTGTCCAAAGTCACACAGAGAATGAGTGGCAGAGTCCGGATTTGAACTCAGGACCTTTGACTTCAAACCTGGCAGTTTTTCCTCTATGTGAGCCTATGTCTGTAGTGCTTTAAAGTCTTCCTTTCATGTCTTCTGATCCCCAGCATGTGATCTGGGGTCAAGCGCTGTCCAATCCACAAAGGCATCATGATTCAGATGAGTTACTCTGGTCTGTAAAACTGATCTTCACACCAGTACTCATGAGTGGGTCATCACCAGATCTGGGCCTTGAGAGTTACACAAATGGAGTGACTTTAGAGAGGAAAACCGAGTTTCCTTTGTGGCCAGAGGTGCTCTGGAGTCACATTTCCTTCTTAGTTCAAGGCCTTTTTTCACTGTTTGACTGATTTGTGTCCTGAATGGAGTCTGGGGATTTTTTTTTATTTTTGGAAAGATGGTGGAGCCTGAGAAGTAACATCTGCTGATCTGGCAACATCTGCCCCAGTGACTTCCTCCCTTCACACACCAGATTCCCCCCACCCCTAGTTTCCAACACTCTTCCAGGATAATGAAGGCATGGCAGGGCCCAGTAGCAGCAGGCAGAAGCCAGCTGCTGTCAGCCCTGCAAAAGGCCGAATTCACCAGGCTCTGCTCACAGCCTCATCCCCAAAGCTGGCTCTTGGGCCAGTAGGGACTGCAATCAGAGCCAGGGATTTACCTCTGCCCTCATTGCATAGCTGGAAGTGACCTCAGGGGCCATCCAGGCCAACTCTGTCATTTTACAGATCAGGAAACTGAGGCCCGAGGATGTGAAGTGACATATCCAAGCTTATGTCAGTAGACAAGAGGAGATACAGTTGTGACAGCAAGTTCAGTATTCTTTCCACTGGAAGGACCTTCTAATTCTCCTCTCTCCTAGCCCCTCATTTTACAACAGAGGAAACGGAGGCCCAAAGAAGTTCAGTGACTTATCCAAGATCATATAGCTAGCAAACGGCAGAGCTGAGATTCAAACTTGCGCCTGGCAACTCCACACTTGGCTCTCTTTCCACTGAAAAGGTTTTTAGAGTTCCCTTCTAGTCCAGCCCCTCATTTGACAAATGAAGAATCTAAGACCTGGATGAGACTATCACTGGAAGGCAGTTCCAAGGTGATCTGGCCCAAATGCCTCATTTCATGGGTAAGAAAACTGAGACCTAGGGATGGTAAATGAGACACCCAAGGTCACACAGGCAGAAAGGGGCAGAGGAGGAGCTGTGGTTTTCTGACTCCAAACCAATTAATCATAAGCATTTATTAAGCACCTACTGTTTGCCTTTGTCCTTAGGGAGCTTGTGCTCGCTATAATCTCAAGTGAAATCACGTGTGTAAAGTGCTTCGCAAACCTTAATGCCCTGTGCTAGTATTAAACTGTGTTATCACTGTTTATGCAGGCTGCCAGGTGGTGTCATGGAGAAAGTGCTGAGCCTACAGTCAGGAAGACCTGAGTCCAACTTTGGCCTCAGACACATACTAGCAGGGTGACCGTGGGCAAGTCACATAAACAGGTTTGCTTCAGTTTTCTCATCTGTAAAATGAGCTGGAGAAGGAAATGGCAAACCATTCCAGTATCTTTTCCAAGAAAGCCTCAAACAGGGTTATGAAGAGTCGGATGTTACTGAAACAACTGAACAATAGCAAAAATTATTACAAATAAATGATTACATATAAAATTATTACATGTAAATCACAATAATACATACACATAAAATTATGTATAAATTATTACATATAAATATACTACATATAAATTACCTATCATTATTATATTGGAGAGAGACTGCAAGGATACTGATAGGCATATACAATACACATACCAAAAAAATTAATTAATCATATTTGTATTGCACAAATACAGTGTAATTATAACTATTGTACATTGTATCTGTGTTGCACAAATGCAACGTAATTATATCTGTATTATACAAATACAATGTAATTGGGGGCACTACCCCTTTGGAAGATGAAGATGGGCTTCTCCTATAAATTGGTGCTTGAGATGAGCCTTGGAAAGAAAGAAGGGATCCTAAGAGATGGGGACAGGGGAAGAAGAGAGAGAGAGAGAGTATGTTACAGCCATCCTTCACCTATGGCACCTTCAGGTTTACAAGCACTTTTCTTCATTTGGCAACCCAAATCTTGTATCCACTTTACAGATGAGGAAAGTGAGGTTCAGACGGATGAAGTGATTTGTCCAGGGCCTCACAGCTAGAAAGCGGTGGAGTGTGGACCAGAACCCAGGACTTCTCATTCCAGGTCCAGGGTTTTTTCTGTACTCCTGAGGCTGCCTCCTAAGGCTGGCTTCTCCATATCTGTCCTGGCCAAAGGCAGGAGTAAGAGTGAGCTGAAGCAAGCTAGGGACAGGTAGTTGCTCTGCCCTGCTGAGTTAGCATCTGGACAAAGGACTCAGCTGAGAGAGACCCTGAGGTCAGCGTCTAAATGATCTACCAGGAGAAAGGCTAGGGCTGTATCCACGGCAAATGTTTCCAATAAGCTCTCTGGGTGTAATCACATGCATCACCATTTCCCCTGTTATGTTCATGCTCCCTTCACTTCCCACTCGTAAAAATGTTAACATCAGCAGAGAGCCTGCTCTGAGGGTTTACCAGTGTTGGGGGAGGGCCAAGGCCCCAGAAAAGCTGCCTTCTAAGTTCAGAATGCTTCCAGAATGCAGAGTGGCCTAGGATTCAGAAGAGGCCTTAAAAGATCATCTAATTCTACCCCACTCACCTTGTTTTACAGATGGGGAAACTGAGGGATTCAGTTGCCCAACCAGTAGCAGCCAAACTGGAACTGAAACCCAGAGCCAGAATCCTTGGAAAACAGCCAGAATTAATCACAATAACTCAAATTTCCCTAACACCCTAGGGTTTATGAAAAGCTTCCTTCAAAAGATCCCTATGAAGGAGGCTAAAGATTGTAATCCTCATTTTATTGGTGGGGAAACTGAATGTCAGAGAAACGAAGAGACTTAC